GTATGTATGTGTATGTGTATGTATGTATGTATGCATGTGTATGTATGTATGCATATGTGTATGTATGTATGCATATATATATATATATATATATATATGTATGTATGTATGCATACACACACCACATCACATTTTTGCGATGATTTCTTTCACTAATTGTTTTCCAAAATGATTTTTCAAATTACTTATCAAAAAAATTACATAATGACAATAATTTAACAAACTAATAAACAATCTAATAAACAAATAAATACAAAAAAACTACTAAAATCTTTTTTAAAGTATTTTTTCATGATTTTAATTTAATACGTTTTTAATTACAAAGCATACCATCAGCAATCTGAATAAAAATTAGAACTGAAAATGTACTGAAATTTGCCCATTCTAAACTGCAGGTATCACACAATGTTTGCTTTAAATGCCATACACTCTTAAAAATAAGAGTATGGCTCTTTATTGGCATTGACGGTTACAAGAAGAACCTCCATGGAATCTTTCAAATGCACAAAAGAACCTTTATTGTGGTAAAAAGGTTCTTACATTTTTAAAAATGTTTTGATGAAGAATTCTTTATTTTTTAAGAGTGTAGAATGATCAGTCAAATTGGTTATAGTAATACTGAAAGCAATAGGAATTCTGAACATTACATTTCCAAGAGATTGAGCAGGTGAAGAGCAAGTGAGCAGAAAGTGAAAGTAAGAGCACAAGTGAGTAATATCGAAAATCCATACTTGATATCCAAACATAACAGCCCACAACTCCTCCAGCATTTTGCACATCCGCAATAAAGTCACCTGCACAGTATAAATCATTAACCGACATCCTGTCATTATTCTAATCTCAAAACAAAACTACATTCCTATAGGAAAGCACTGATTTAGTTGTTCAGTTTCAGATTTTTTTTTTCTGATGCTGGATTCAAAGCCACTCCTAATTAACTCAGGCCAGTCAAGACTAATTAGTTTGCTGACACCGGGACCTCTGTGTTCCCCCGTGACACTCCGGACTGTTCCCTCATGTCTAAATGCAAATGAGAGGTCATTCTTAGACGATAAACAAACCTCTGAAACCCCATGAAGATGTTGTGCATAATTATATACACCAGAATGCCACTGGAAATGCAGGAAGCATAATCAGACATACAAGCAAGCTACTGTGCAAAAATATTTATGATGACGATAATGATATGTGTGGTTTGTGTGCATATGCCATCACTGTGCATTTGCTGCATCTCAGCTCAACTTAAAGGGACAGTTCACCCAAAAGTCAAAAGCTGTCATTATTTATTTACCCTTATGTCATTCTAAATATGTAAACTATACTATTGATCACAAAACAAGATTTGTTGAAGAATCTTAACTTATCAATACAAAGTTCATAATTTCCACGTCTACCAAGCTCCAAACATGACAAAAACAACAAAAATAAATAATATACTGTAAACTGTGTGCTATATTCCAAAATGTAAGCCTTATTCACTCATAATATCTCCCATTAGAATAATAATACACACTGATGACCACTATAAAAGCATGGGGTAAGTAATATACAGTATATTTACAGTATATTTCTAAATTAATATTTTTTATTCAGAATGCATTAAATTGATTATAGATGACAGTAAAGACATTTTTAATGTTGCTAAAGATTTCTATTTCAAATAAATGCTGTTCTTTTTAACTTTTTATTTATCAAAGAATCCTGAGAAAAAATATATATATACAATGGTTTCCACAAAAATATTAAGGAGCACACCTGTTTTCAACATTGACAATAAGAAGAATTAGAAAAATTAGAATGATTTCTGAAGGATCATGTGATAACTGAAGACTGAAAATTCAGTTTTGCCATTACAGGAATAAATGATACATTTACTAGGGCTGCACGATAAATCGCATGCGATATTTAACACGCATCTTGTCAGAAAGCCGGTTCTGTAATCAGTAGTAAATCTCTATCACGTGCGTGCTTTCACATTGAGCAGCATTAACTACACAGAGCCGTTGTTCACTGACGAGCTGC